TAAATACACCGAGTTTAAAATATTTTCCAGTTATTATTTAGGTTGTAGGGGTGGTGTTGTCAGAACACCTTGCCAACTATATGGAGAAATGTGCTCAGATTACATCTGGAACATAATGCTGAGCTTGACCTTCGCTATTTTGATACAATTCTATTAGATTTCTAATGAAATGGCAGCCCTGGGAATCCAAAAAACATGTACAGAATTTCTCTCATACTACAGAGACATTGGAACTTTTCAGTTCTAGCTTGATATTTACGTAGCTACGTTTGTTTAAATGCAATACATTGGTAATTTATTTTTAACTAGAGTTCCTTTCACCAAAAAATTGCTCACTACTGCAGAAGTGATATTTACTTTCCTAGGTTTAAGATGTTCATTAGAATTAAAAAGGACACATCCAGAAAGTGGATGCAATAGTGTTAATTGTGATAGAGCTTCTCATTTAAATATTTAGTAGATTTGGATAATTTTTAACATGTTTTAGTAGTTATTTTTATCAGTTGGCTCCCAGGAATTCAGTTTTAAAATGCCTCCTTATTCCTTAAAGAATCTGAATATAATAATATCTCTATCTAAATATTATAATCTAAATTGAATTAAGATTAGAAAAATAATTACAGTATCTGATAAGAGATAATACTTGTTATTGGTGTGATGTTTTATCTTTTTCCAGGGGATTATTTAAAACAAAAGTTTCTGAAAGTTATTGCTTTACCCAAAAAAAGAGCAATAGACTTCAAGTACTCAGTTTCCTTCTTTTTCACAAGACAGACAAATACTTAGCTTTGCAGAGTCCTTGTTCTTACGGTGCTGTATAGTAGGAGTTTTTTGTTCCAAGCAGATGAGTGAAAACATATTCTTTGAGAGCCTACATCTAATGCAAATTAACCTTTCTAGCTGCATCCAAAAAATGTTAACTGTCACAGGTGGGAACTGCTGTTGCACAAGTCTGTTTGACGACATATAACTTGACAAGTGCATATATGGCTAGAGCTGCTGTGACTGATCCTGTAATAATGGAACTCTTCCATTTTCCTTGACTTTTATCATCAGATAACTGAATAACAAATGTACTTATGTCTTCTAAAATGTGAGATTCTGTTAAGTTGCCCACACATGCCTTTGTGTTTAGAATACTTTGTAAATTGCTTTCCTAAAAAGGGAACGATTAATGAAATGTAAATTGGTGCTTATCTCTTTGTACATGAGGAAGGCACTAGGTTGGGGGTTTACCCCTTCGTTCCCTAAAGACAGACATAATTTACCAGGCTGGAGATTTTTTTTAAAGTACATGAAGATCAAAATAAAAAATAACCTCCAGAATAACAGCCTTCAATACAGTGCCAGTAATTCATCATTACATACATAGTTTCAGAGTTATTTCTATTCTGCCCAGGCACTTTCCAGTGGAAGAAGTGACTAGATAGTGAGATTTTAGTAAGTCTTGATTTTCATACACATCATTTTGATCATGCAACCACAGGCAAAGTCCTCCATTAGGATCAAGTGATGAGATACTTACCACAGATTGCAAGGTGTGCACGGAAAAGAAGATGGAAACACTGATAGCAAATAACGAGACTGACAAAATTCTTATCTGTATGTGCCACTTAGGCAGCAGTGGAGGCTTTTTTGACCTCCTATGTGGCTTCACACCAATTCACACTGACATGTTGGGTTTGAAAAGTTAAACGCTGTTCTTCTGTCTTTCTATATCTTGATTGTAAGTTGGCTGTTCTATTTGGGAGAAGCCTTTTCCTGGTCGTTGTGCTATCTGCATCGCGCTGTCTCTTTTTTTCACTATCCAAACCTTTTAGGCTCGAAGGGAATTGAAACACTTGAAGGAGGAGGCTAGGCGTAAGCATGCTGTTGCAGTCATTTGGGCTTACTGGCTTGGACTGAAGGTACTTTCTCAAACACTCCCATCTGTCAACATGAACTCAATAAAGCGTGGCATCTTACTAACACTTAATAAACAAGCATTTATGTGGGCTTGCTAGTAGGGATGACTTTTACAGAGAATTACATTGCTAAATTTTGTCATGGATTTTACTCAAAAATTCATAAGCTGAAAATGCCTCATTTACAGTAATATTTAGGCATCAGGTGTTTTTTGTCATATTAGGAATTTCAGTTTTCAAGTAAAAGGCAAATGTCAGATTAAAGGGACTCTATTGTGGTGGTTGACGTAAAAACCTGACCTACGTTGGCAAAGATGCTATCTGGAAAGATTACAAGGATGTATTTTTGTATTGTGACCTCTGCTTGTTTAAATGGGAAGTAGAGTGGAGCTGTTTGACTCTCGCTGCTGCTCACATTAGACCCCTGACCCCAGTGTCAAGGGCGTGGTGTAAAGCTAATGATAATGTCCTGTTGCTTCCATCAAGCCTTTTTAGGGCACGGCATTGCATGGTGGCAGCCATGAATTCCCAGAAAAATTGAGATGTACAAGAGTCTTTTCTTTTCTGCCCCTTGCTTTCAAGGACTGGTTGGCAAAAGAAAACACATTTGTAATCTGGAAAAATGTAGTTCTACTCCGTAAATAGACTATGAAAATGGCATCTTGAGATGTTTCAGGTCTGTGCCCAAACGATTTACATAACACAGTTTTCAAATGTAGTTTTACAGATGCAGTCCTGAAGAACTACGGAAATCTGAATCAGTTTTGTTTGGCTGGGTGTCACTTTTGCTAATAGAGATATTGTAGACTGCAGAAGTATAAAAGGGAACAATTTGCTTGATAATGCAGAGTAAAGCCCAGCTCTCATGTTCTCATACTTATTCTAACAATGATGAAATGGGAAAAATCATTACAAAACATATAATTATATATAATCTATGTATATTATGTATATTAAAAATCCATTACAATACATACATGGAAACCAGAGCTGGAAATAAAAAGGAGCCATTTTAAGAAGTCATTCTGCAGATCGGAATCATACTTTAGGTACTACTGCCAAAGTGGGTCTGTTTTTTTGATTTTAAAACAGTATGTGCCTCTTGAGAACTCAGAGGCTGTTTTATGTCAAACAGCATTTAAAGGAAAACTGATGAATCCAAAACCTTTAAGGCACATTATAGCAGGAATACGTTTCTGCCTGTCTGTGGTGTGGTTTTTCAATGTATTTTTTAAATAGTGTAAGCGGCACTTCTGTCTCACCCGAAACAGGTGGATTTTTCTGAATAAGAACATAGTCTGTGATTCCAATAGATCACTGTTCTACAGGCAATTTCTGTTTGTCTGATGGCAAAGCATTTTGACCCATGACATATGGAGTTGAAGATTTAAAGTTGATACAAGTGATCAAGATTATTAATTCTTCAGTCTTTTTTTTTTTTTTTGAATTGTATGATAAGTAGATTTTAATAGCATTTGCGGTACTTGCCAGATTTAGGCTTTTCTGGAACGGCTTGCATTTCTCAGTGCTTGCTTTGCAGCTTCCCTGCAGCGCCAATAGGATGTGTGGGTGTATATTAGTCCCTTTGTTCCAAATTAATTTGCACACCATGCAGCTCACGAAGAATAATATAAAGCACCATCATTAAAGACAGTCTATGAGAACACGGTGAGATTTGGGATGATTGTGGTTGGAGTGGCTTTGAGTGTGTTAATTTCCATCCCTGAATGATAAATAAAGGATGTACACATACAGAAAATCAGTGAACAAGAACTCTAATAATTTTTCTTATAAGGTGAGGAGGAAAAAATTATGTGCTGTATTTGCATAGAGTGATGACAGCTGTCAGTTTTGTTGATGCATCTTAATGTGTAATTAAGCAAAACCCATTTATCTGTGGAGTTGTTTTAACCTCTGAATGGTGACAGATTCTTGTTTTCAAAATGCTGGCTTATCTTAAAATGCATGACACAGTATGGGGCCGAAGATGTGCCAGGGTAAGCCAAACAAGTTTTTTCTTAGAAGTTGATGTGGGTTTTTCCTCTATGGGTTTCCCTTTATTTTCTGGTTACAGTGAACTCAGCAACACAAAGCGAGTTAGCTAAAACCACTAAATTTTCTCTGGGGTAAATTATGCAAAGCCACGATGTTTTCCCTGTTTTTTGCTCAAAACTTGTAACAGGTGTGTTGCAGGCTGTGCCAAAGTTTGAAAAAGTTGGGGGATGTTTCAGCTAACTTGACGTGAGCCTGGCCTTCACAGAAAACTGCAAACCAGTTGTGTGCTCTCTCAGATTGCATTTTCTGAAAGGAGGAATTTAGATACTATGCTAATTAGCACTGACAGAAATACAAAGGGCAGAACAAGTACTCTGAAACTTACATTTAAAAAAGCATGTTTTAAAAATGAGTATCACCTGCAAAAATGATTCTCAGTGATCACTTCTTTTATTTTTTTTAATGTATTTTAGGAACAAATATCAAGCTTGCTGACATTAAGCAAACTTTGTGTTGATTCTCTTATCAAGCACCAAAACCTTATTTTCCTTTTGGAATGAAGACTGCTTATGTGAAAAGAGGGTTTTTTTCATATATAAGTCTGCTCTGGAAAAAAAAATACAGGGTTTTTTTATTATAGAAAAATCTATGTATTAAGAATCTTGAGAAAAATCAGAAGTGGTTCATCAGTTAACTATGTAATTAACATCAGTTCAGCATCACTTCAGGCACAATAAAATATGTATCACTGATACCTCACTTTTTCCAGTCTAACTTTATGCGAAAGCCTATCAAAATAGATTCGTACTGTGAATTCAACAATATTTGAATAGCTTGCCTTTTCAGAGGAGAGTATTTCAAATTCTCTGTTAAATTTGCAAATGACTGTACTCAGGTCAGCCAAGGTAACATTCTGACCTCTTGGTCCACAGTCTGGTTCATGTATTTTAAGTGTAGCCAGTTAGTATTCCTATTTCAGGGAACACTTTGCATGTTTATATGTTTTTTTTAGTATTTTCTGCCATAAAGCTTTATAAAAGAATACCTGTGCAAACAAATTCATTCTTTGTATTCACTTTGAGGGTTTGTTTAACTTTTCAGGTCCGTAGAGAGTACAGGAAATTCTTCAGAGCCAATGCTGGAAGAAAAATTTATGAATTTACCCTTCAGAGACTTGTATGTATATATCCATACAAAGCACATGTACATTTTCTGTGTTTTAAACTTTTGTTTTCTAGCAAAAGTAACAGCTGTGTTATGGCCTTAATAGTCCTTTTAAGGAAATGTCCAAGCTAAGCATATGGAAAATTGCCAACTTAAATTTTCTGATGTTGTAAAGAAAGGATAATGATAGTGTTTCAGAGGTGTGGGAATGGTACCAACCAATCATTTGCCACACTTCTATGATATCTGGATCTGCATTTCTTAATATACCTGGCTTTTTAAATCCATATTCAGATTGAAAGCTGGGAGTTACAGTTTGGTAACTGTGCTTTTAATCACAGAGCATCTGCTTTTCCTTGCTTATTTCAATAACTCTGGTATTTGAACATTAATAAACATCTTGCTTCAAATTTATCACAGATGCAAAAATACTTCCTGGAAATGAAGAATAAGATGCCTTCTTTATCACCAATAGATAAAAACTGGCCAGCGAGACCTTACCTTTTCTTGGATTCAACTCACAAGGAACTAAAGAGGATTTTCCATTTGTGGAGGGTAGGACACATTCTGGTCCAGTCTGTATAGAACTTCATCACATGATTTTCAGTAGTTTTGTTCATGAAGGGCCTGGTTTTTAGGATGTGTTTCTTCCCGTTCCAGCCAGGATGATTTTATTTCTTTAGAAGAAGTATGGGTTTCGATCGTATTGTCTTTGGCCTGCAAAGGGTTATAACTATCCTGCCTACTCCTTTCTGGGGCAAGGGAGAGAGGATTGCTTCCTGCCATCAGCTTTTTGACTTAACAGTAAAGCAGTATGCCTGTTGCCTGTTAATTGGTAGCATATAATACTTATGTCCATGGCCAGGACGGGGACTCTTAGACCAACATTGGAAGTGCTGGGTGGAATTTTTTACTGATGAGTTGTGGTTAGCTGAGATTTGGTTTGGATCTTCGGATGAAGAGAACGGCGAGAATCTGTTTAAGTGCTGATGAGACATTTTGCTGATCTTGTTGGCTATGGTTTCTGTGAATTGTCAAGGAACAGTTTTTCTTTCTGTGCCTGCAAAATTCATCCTCCCAGCTGTTTTATTCTTTCCTTTGTTTACACAAACTTCCACAATTGTGGAACTATATGTATGTTTCTGTGAACCTTTTTAGCACAGTGTTCCAGTGACTGGTATCTGATAGATTAAGCTTATGTTTAAATGCAACATGCAGATTAAGCTCATGTTCAAATGCGACATGCTTAAACAAGATGGTTTAGATATTGGTTTTGTTGTAATTCAGAAGTATCTAGAATGGGTGAGAAGAAAAACACCTCTGCTGTTTTTTACTGGGCTACAGTGGCATGTAGGATGGAGCTGAGTCACTTCAGAAGTATACAAAGAATGTGCATCTTGAGCAATAAGCAAACATTAGTCTGTGGTGGTGCTGCTGCTTCAGATCAGATTTGGAAGGATAATTTTTTTAGTATGTTTAATATATCATGTTTTTTAGTGTAAAAAGTACAGAGACCAGTTCACAGATCAGCAGAAGCTTATATATGAAGAAAAACTGGAAGCAAGCGAACTTTTCAAGGACAAGAAGGCTTTATATCCAGCCAGGTAATGACTTATTCTGCTGCTTATAGTGTACGATAAATGCAGTACCCTTACATAGCTTTAGGAGACTAAGCAAGATTTTGCATATTCCTTGTTTGACAATGTCCCTCCATAATTTTATTTTACAATCCTGGAGATTGACCTGTTTGCTTCTAATTTAGATGTTGTTGCAGGCCACTAAATCCTGCAATACTGTGCACTTCTGTCCAGAAACCATGATTTTTTTGTTGTTTTAACCTCCTGTGACCTGTTCACAGCATAAAAGTTTGGAGAACTTGTAGAAGGGAATGACTCTCATCCTTTCCCCTAGTTTCCATCACGCTGGTTCCTGCAACTAATAAATGTAGAGTGAACTGAAAGGCTGTGACAATGTCACTTCCAGATGAGGCATGCCAGTGAAATCTCCTATGTTCAAACTTAGTACATTCAGCATAATGCTCTAATGGGAAGGCTAGATACTTTAAGAGTTAGGTACGTTGGTATATAGCTTTTTGAAAGCATGCTTCAAAATGGGCTTAGAAGTTAATTTCTGGTTTAGAATTTTATTTTTTTTTTAGTTGGAGACTTTTTAAAAATGTGAAATCTCTGCAAATAAGTTTTTTGGTTTCTCAGATTACTGAGTTTTTAAAAACCGATAAATTCTTGTCATTACTATCTGTAGAGCTAGCATTAAGAAAGTACATCAGTATCTGATTTTACTTAAGGAATGCACTTTTTTTTTATATGCAATAAAACTGACAAAATAGAGATCTGACATCCTTGAAAGAAGTTGAATTGAATTTTTTAAGTGAATATGAGCTTAGAAATTGTGTTTTTTCTTGTAAACAAGGTCTTGTCCATCTCAGGAGAGTTTTCTTTTATAGTTTGAGCTGAGCAGGAACAACACGCTGTAAAGCGAGAAGCAAGGGTTGGTAGAGGGAGGAACAGGAATCTGCAAGAGTTGATGAGAGCAGTTCCATGCATGGACAAGCTCTGCTTGGTTGGTTGTGCATTTTATGGGTTTTGTTTCTTTTTTTGTTTAGACATTTCCTTTTTCCTGTAATGGGCTCAGTATATGTTTCTCTTTCTTCCCTTCAGTAGATCACTTATTTAATGGCTGTATATGTTAGCTTGTGGTTTGTTCCTCATTTGCTTTGGGGTTTCTTTTCATGCGGCTGGGAAAAGAGAAAGATGCTGCCCTTGGACTTTCTAGGAGCAAGCAGGTTTTTTTGCTTTGAGTCAGTATGTATCCAATCAGCATAGAGCTCCTTGGGAAGGAAGAAATTTTATTTATACCCTTGGTTTGGTACTTTTTACACTAAGATTGAACAATGAAATGTTATACAGCAAATACATATCTGAGTTACTTTTATCCAAGACATTCTTAAGTGGTATATGTGATAGAAAGTAACTGTTGATTCATTTCAGTTTTAGCTTGTAAGTCGTCATCATTTGATTAGGGACAAAGTCCACAGGGAGTCTACTGGTTTGGTGACTATGGTTTCATAATGGTAATTAATAAAAACAAAAAACCCCAAAGCTCCAACATGGTAGAAAGTTAGAATGCTTTCTCCACCCTGCACTCACTTAGAAACATTTCCATCTCTTTTTGTCTTGTATTCAGAGCTCCTGTTGCATTTTTTATTGGCCTAAGGGTGGAGGAAATTACTGTATAAAGTTTCTGATTAATTAGTATAGTAACAATTCATAGGATGTGGCTAATTTTCTGTGTATAATGTAATTAAAAAACAGAGAGGAATTTCTTGTGAGTACTAAAGTACCTGTACCCTTCCTTTTCTCTCCCATCTCCCTGTGTGCTAGAGATGCAATTACAAAGGTAGTGCTATTCCACACAGTATATCAGTTCCTCCTGGGCTCTAGTCTTGGTGAAGCTTTGCATTTAGTACTTTGACTGTAATTTAATCAAAATGATTAGTTAAAGTGACTTCCAGACAAAGCAATTCTTAACTGATAGCAAAGCTTTTACTGTGTAACCCCGAGGTGTGGGTAAAGACGGGGTGATTTGCAAGTGCAACAAGCCTTGGTGAAGAGCTGGTACACATTTAACAAACAACAGCAGATCTTGAAGGCAAGTTCTTGTCTGTCACTCTGAAATACTGTGAAAGAGCAGAGATTTCTGTCCTGATGAAGTTTTATTTCCTTTTTCACAGAGACCGTTACTTCCTTTTTCACAGAGACCGTTACTGGGTGATTTTTAAATCAAAACTGATTGCATATGCAAGGATGTACTTGTTTCCAATATCCATAGGAATTTGGCCCATTTAATTGGAAAATACTTCCAGAGCAAGGAAAAAAAAATAAATCCTGTTACTGTCTTTGGCAATAAATTTCTGTTTATTCACCATCGCTGTGCTGTTAATGTATACAAGATTCTGTGTCTAATGCACATACCGTTTCTTACCGCTCTTCCTCCCCCTTTTTCCTGGGAGAAGTGCTGAGATCTATCAGAGATACATCCTGGTATATCACAGATATATACTCTGTGGCAATTCCCAAGTTATTTTCAGCTGAGGTAGTATGCCTGCATGGCACAGATTAATGCCGACACCAACACACTGAGTGAATAGTGGTACTCACCTGAAGACTCTTGGGGCAGAGCACAGGGCGCTGCAGTTTTCAGCTTCTAACCAGGATCATAGAAGCATAGGATAGTTTGGGCAGGAAGGGACCTTTAAAGGCCATCTAGTCCCACCCCCTGCAGTGAGCAGGGACATCTTTAGTTGGATCAGGTTGCTCAGAGCCCTGTCCAACCTGACCTTCAATGTTTCCAGGGATGGGGCTTCTACCACCTCTCTGGGCAGCCCGTTCCGGTGATTCACCACCCTCATTGCAAAAAATTTTTTCCTTGTATCCAGTCTAAATCTACATTCTTTTAGTTTAAAACCATTATCCCTTGTCCTTTCTCGACAGGCCCTGCTAAAAAGATTACCCCCACCTTTCCCGCAGGCCCCCTTTAAGTACTGGAAGGCCGCTCTAAGGTCTCCCCTGAGCCTTGTCTTCTCCAGGCTGAACAACCCCAGCTCTCTCAGTCTGTCCTTATAGGAGAGGTGCCTCAGCCACGCTCAATCATCTTCGTGACCCTCCTCTGAATCTGCTCTAACAGGTCCATATATGTCTTTCTTGTGCTGAGGGCTCCAGAGATGGAGGACAATTACGCTGCATAAACGAACACCATGTTAAGAACCCTTTTTGCATTTAGTTTTGTATTCTAATTATTCTGTTAGACAATAGCAAATTATTTTGCATTGTTGTTGTTTAAAACAGGTAGAAACTGTGAGTAGAGGTATCTGGGTTGTTTAGAGTATTCTTTTGCTAAAAGTGAAGCAGCAAATGACTTTCCCTGGCAGAAGTCTCAAAGCTTAAGGAAGCTTCCGGCAGTATAGAGTCATTGAAAACAGTAGTTAGTGCATCTCCTGGCTTCAAGAAGCCTGAAGCAGAACATGATGGTTTCAGGAGGTTTGCCTGTTCCCTGAAATTCATGTTTAATTCTTGTTTCCCTTGTCTTTTTGTTGGGCAGTGTTGGGCAGCCGTTCCAAGGGGCTTACTTGGAAATCAGCAAGAACCCCAAGTACAAAAAACTTAAAGATGCTGTGGATGAAAAGATTATTATTGCAGAAGTCGTGAATAAGATCAATAGAGCTAATGGGAAGGTAATAAAATGGAATTGCTTTACCCAGAAGGGTAGATCATTTTTGTTATAAGTGAACTGAGAGGGAGACTTCATTCCTGTCATGTGATAGTCTGAGGATTTTTAAAAATGCCTTTTTTTAAGCACAAGACGGAAAAGTTGGCTTTATGTAAAATGGTAATTTTAAATACCTGGTTTAGATTTACATAAAGATTACTAAAATCTTGTTTGGGTTTGTAGTTTTCAGTGACTTTCCCAAACAAAAATGGCATCTCATCAACTGGTAACAGATTGTATTGATTCACAACTAAACATAGTCTCTGTACCAAACTTAGATCTTCTATTTGCCAACTGAAGAAAATAAGTTAGAAAACATTGTTCTTGTTCAAGTATTTAGAAAACTTAACCCTTTGAAGTTCATACTGTTGTTGAAGCTCCCGATTATCACATTTTATTATGTTTTAAAATAGTGAGTGGCATACTTGGCTAGCTTTGCCTGCCTTCTGATTCCAAAAAATGGAATGAAGAGGCAAGTTTCTTGTATCATTTGAATAAAGCCGTTAAATATGCTGAGTACTTTTTTACTCTGACAACACAGAACTTGGTTTGCATTTAAATTATACTTATTAAAACAGGAAGTATTATCCTCCCTTAGTAAATGTAATTGTTTTCACCATATCTATCTAAATATTAGAAGTAGGAGATCTCATTTATGCATTTGTAGGAGTGAAATTAGGTTGCTTGTTGTTGATGCCAAGTTAATTTTCCGGTTTAGAAGAAACTAATTAAATGAAGACAATATCTTTCCTGTACTTGCATAGGCTACAACTCTCAAGATTTAAAAAAAAAAAAAAAAAAGAGCTGTGGTTCTCTGTGCTTAAGACAGCTACTTCTTAATTATAATAGTTAAGATTTTATTATTTAAAATTTTAGAGGAAAAAAAACTATATGTAGATTAAGTTCTTATTTATCTTATTTTTGTGCTTTAAAAATATTTGTTGTTTGAAAATATGAATGTTTATCCTCCTAAAGAATAATTCCAATAGATAAAAGGAGGACAACATTGAAAAAAACGATGTGATTTGTGTTGTTCTGCAACACAGTTTTAGTGAGTAACAGTAAATGGTGAGGCTTAGTCCTAAATCAGCTATCACTCAAAAGATAGATTGGTTTTCCTGGGGACTGGGGATTGACAGAGCATAAGAAATGAGGTTATCCTGATTTTCATAGTGTCTGAGTTTCAGTTTCTGAGTTTTATAACTGTGAGTTAGTAATTAAAGGAACTGTTTATACCTAAGCATATGTGCCAAAATGAGCTAAGCTTCTCAAACTATAATTAGACACATAAATAAATTTGACCTGATTTTAGTGCAGCTTTTACTGAACATCAAATGTTTATGTTTGCTAATGTGGGCCATGCTTATTAACTCTATGAACTGCTTGTAGTCTTAACAGGTGCTCAATAAAGACTAGTTCTCTCTTTGTAGATAGTGGTTTATGGTTTTGTATTTTCACAGGCTACCTCCAGGATTTTCTTACTAACCAAAAATAATGTTCTTCTTGCGGATCAAAAATCCGGCAATATCAAGTCAGAAGTTCCACTGGGAGATGTTACCAAAGTGTCCATGAGCTCCCAAAATGATGGCTTCTTTGCAGTACACCTCAAGGAGGTTGGTTATAACTTTGTAATACAATAATACAATGTTTTACATGCAGTGATATAAAATTGTTTATTATCTTGTAGCATTAAATTGTAGTGGTTAGCCCATAGGTTTAGAAGTTTATTGAACTTTGACATATCTGCAAAAACTGATTTAAAACTACTGAAGCCAAATGAGAACAGTTATTACATTATGAATGATCATTTACTTGTGAAAATCAGACTTTGTATTTCACTGCAGCCTATTCAAAACTGGAGTTTTCAATGTGTAATATGGGCCTTTAATCTGGTTTTGGATAACTTGTGGCAGTGTTTTCCTTTTTAGCTGCTCATATAATTCTTCCTGATGCACTGGCAGAATATTTCTCTCTTCTTTATGGGATGCCAAGAAATCCACGTTATGGCACAGCTAATTTGGTTACTCAGTTCTAAAGAACTGATTTCAGTGCTATATTTGCTTCATTGCACTGTCAGCACTGCTCTGCTAAAATCATTAAGCTGGCATTTGAATTCTAGCTCAAATGGATTTAAAGAATGTTACATATAGTGTTTTTTCATACTGACCACCTTCATCCTAATACTAGTGTTGGAAATTTGTTTCTGTTCCTTTTTGAAAATACTATGAGCTTGCTGCAGTGTAGCCAGAAAAAGGATACAGAAACACGAGTTTTGTAAGACAAATGGAGGGGACCCTCCTTTAGGGTCAGAAGGGGTTTTTTACTTTCTCAACAAGTTTGTAGTTATTTTGATAGTGAATTGCATTTTGATCCTATACACTGCACTGCATCCCTATTTAATTTACAGGACAAAAGACTGTTCTTTCACTGCACTGGGAAGAGAAGACTCCTGCTTCCTTGGGCATTTAGTATTTTTCATATTCTAGGTTTCGGTAGTCCTAATTACTTTCCTTTCTGTTTCAGGGTTCAGGAGCAGCTGGTAAAGGAGATTTCCTGCTCAGCAGCGATCACCTTATTGAAATGGCCACTAAACTTTACCGCACTACTCTCAGCCAAACCAAACAGAAGCTCAACATTGAGATATCTGATGAGTATGTTTCTTGTTTGCTTAGAAGTGTTTCCTTCAATGCAACATGCTAAAAAGTCAAATACCTACTGTTAGAAAAACAAACCACTGTTGTGTAACTAATACCTCTTTTCTCTTGACAGAATACTTGTAAATAAGGATCCAATTTTCAATGTGTACTCATTTCTGATATTAATTTTGGCTCTCATTTCCTTGAAAATCATTAGAGAAATTGTGCTTTTCTTAAGGTATTTTCAGATAGGGCTATGAAGCAGAATTGCTGCTGTAGAAATCATTAAGAGATGCTACATTTGAGAGAATCATTTTGTATGTGACTGAAAAGTTCATGTATTCCTGTGAGATGTTTATTGATTAGAGTGGACATGAGGTGCCAAGTTCTAGTGAAAACAACCAAAACAGAATGAAAAGCTTCTCCCCCAAAGACATGTAATGATGGTGCTAGTAATGTAGGTCTGTAAAGCTCTACCTTCTCTTTGTGAAAGTGAAAAATGCATTCTTAAAATTCATGCTGATGGTGTTTGAACCACCTATTGTTGTTTTGGGTTTTTGGGTTGTTAAAAAGCTTTGTTTGATAAAAAACTTGCATCTCAAATTAGTATTTCTTTCTGTTTGGTGCAGTTTCATATTTTGGCCTTAAATAAGGACTGCACTTGCAGTGTTTATAGCCGTGGGATAAAAATGTGTGCATTTGTGAACTCCTGAAGCCAGCTGAGTGAGTCCCTCTCTTAGGCCACCATCGTTATGCACTCAGTTTGTTGTGTGAAGTGCCCCCTGATTTCAGTAGTGTTGATTTGGTGGGTTTTCAGTATGAAGAAAATTTGGAACCCTTTAACAATAGTGAAATAAAATTTCTGTCAGAAAAACATGAACCTTTTATCTGGCTGTACCACACTGCTTGTATTCTAGAGTCATGACGGCAAGTACAGTTTATATCTATTCAGATTTAAGGCTTATTTAAAGGCTGATTCTGCTTTTTCCTTGAAAATTACGTCTGCCACGTTCCTTTGAGCTGTTACCAGATGTGATTTAATTTGCTCAAGTGTGTGTGTTTTTAGTCTCTTAAAGAGTGTGGCTGTTCCCAGTAAGTTTCTAGTTTAATGATGGCTACAAAGGAATAAACTACTAAACCAAAGTTTAAGCATGCATTGCACTAGTCTGGACTGCCTGACTGCCTTAGGTCTAGGAAACAGACTGCTTCCTGGGAGTCTTGCATTTTGGGATGTGGCTTTGGTTCTTGTCTTGCAGATTAAAAACATTCACGTGTGTATTGCTGTTGAGTTTATCCAGACTAAATAATTCTAAGTTGTTAGCAGTTCCATCTCTGTTGATGGTGAAGCAGTACTCTCTTCTCCCAGCTAGAGATTAGATACAAGCACAGCTAGGAATTGAGAAGAAAATGTGGCCTGAGTTTCACTGCTGTACACTACTTTTTGGGTAAGAGAGCTGATAAAAGCAAAAATGCTTTTGATCCAGATGTATGTCTAGCAAGACCATACCTTTTGTATAGACCATATTGAAACAATGGGTCTAGGAAAACGCAGCGTTGATGACAAGAGATGATGGCTATAAGACCTACTTACATTTTGCGGATGCTTGCATGGCTGGGAGCACCGAACAAGTTAATCTTTGAGCGTCTGGGCTGTGCAGCAGGAAGGGGGGACCGAAGGGCAGCTCTGCGCAGCAGAGGCCGCTTCCTCCCCTGAGCTCTGCCGTCAGCTTGATTTGTGGTTTCCGGCTGGAGAACAAATTCTTTGAAGTTTTTGGCCTCTGCTTGAGGACTTTTTAAGGATGCTAAAAGGGAAAATCTGCTCTATTACAAAGGACTTTTTAGGTCAGCAGCCACTGCACGTGAGCCAAAAGGCAGTGCCGCCCTGTTTATTGCTTTCAGTCTTGCTACCCAGATCAGTGACAAGTTTGAGGCTCTACAGGAGCCTGTTGGGCTTTGGTCTTGTTTGTTTTTTTTTTTTTTTTCTGAAGCGATTCTCCACATTCAGTGAAATTTCTCTTCCAGTAAAAGTGAAGAGTCAAACCCAGATTAATATACCCTGGACCGTAGGAAATATCTAAATTTGGAGATTGCTGGGAAGGAAGTGAATTTTCCCAGATGCCAAGCAGGGGGCTATAAAGGCTACCTAAGGATTAGAAATACGAGAGCTGCTAAAGTGCCAGATATGCTAAATTAAGCAAAAACCAGAAAAGCACTGCTGATGTGGCTATAGAAGTATTTAGCTTCCACGAAAACAGAAAAGTCACTTTGGATGACGGTGAAGCAGCTGGAAATGGTCTTTGCTGCATTTCTGGTACCTCAGAAATTCTGTTTTAAACAGTCTTCTTTCTAAAGGATCAAGACATGCTACCTGAAGGAGGCTCAAGCCACACCATAACCTATGGCTTTTTTTTATTCTCCAACTCTTATTATTAATACAGACCTGAAAATGACATCTTTTGGAGTGATGCTCGGAACCAAGAGGAAAAGACTTCCTTTCCTCATGTGATTTTTTTTGCACCTTTAACTAAAATCTATCTTATTCCCTCTCCTAGGTTTTTGGTCCAGTTCAGACAAGACAAAGTATGTGTGAAGTTCATACAAGGCAGCCAGAAAAATGGCAACATCCCAACTTGCAAGCGAAAAAACAATCGTCTTCTTGAAGTGGCTGTCCCCTAACTGCAGCTGGTGACTCTCCCTTTCATGGACTTGTTTCTTTGTAATAGTGCAATTATAGTTGTTAGATTTCGCTGATTTTATACCTTTCCGGAGCTGTTGGTGGCTAATAGCTTTAGAAACCCTTGGCAAAACATATGATGAATCGACTTTTTAATCTCTTTGTTCATGACGAAGTTTTAACCCTCAAAATACAGATTTTTACACAGTGAGGCATTTTTACCAGCTGGCACATATCTGTCATACATTAATCATTCTCTTTTTGTTTAGCAGTCATATTTTAGTTCAGCATACCGTAAACCCACGTATTAATGATAAATTACTCATATTCCTTAGTCTAGCGGTCTGCTTAACAGGAACTATATGTGGCCTTGATGCTTGATGGCCACTTGTGCCCAGTGTCTTTTTATACCAAACTGTTCTGGTCTTCTGACGGGCTCCTTGCTTGCCGCTGCTGGGGAGACTGGCAGAACGGAGACTGACACACTAACTCCAGCAGTTAACACTAGGACCTATGTAACTCGATCTTTTAGTCCATACGGCACAGGAAGATCTAATTCTGCAAAACAGAAGGAATATATGATTATACAAGCAGCTATATGCATAATTTTACAGTAAAAAGTGCAGAAATTTTGAAACAGTGTTTTTTTAATTAGATCAGATATTTTTAATGACTTTATACATTAGAAATCAGTAAAGTTTAAAAAGCTTGTTTCTTTCCCAAAAGCTATACAGTTCGAGGCATATTTTCTGTTCTGCTTTTTTTCTTTTAAATTATTAGTTAAGATTAGAGCCTGAAAAATGCAATAGTATTCATAACACAAGTAAACGCTAGGTATTTAAACAGCTAGTTATCAAGTGAAAGGATTGAGCCTTTCTTCTAGATATTGGCATGTACAATGTGCAATAAAACATACGTGACATTTTGTGCAAAATTATTTATAATACATTTTTGTGTGCAAGAGAGGATTGGTGCAAACTGCGTAGACAATGTAGGGGTTAAGAGAGATTTGTGTTGTTAATTTGCAGTTTTTTAGAATGTACACTACAGTTGTCAATTTGGGAAGAATACTTAGAACTAAAAAATCCTTAATTTGAGGGTCTGTATATAAATTGGTATTACGGTGATAAAGCTGTTCTAATTCTGTGCTGTTTGGTACTCCTATGTTATAACCATATTTTTGTACTCCAAACTATTTTATATAACTTGTGTGCCTGATGTAAATGCGTGCACAGAAAATACAATCAAGAGCTGCGTTAAACTTTCAGTGTAACTGATTGCACTTAATCTTTTATAAGCCAGAAGCATTAGTTGAAATCCTTAAAAGGAGAGATGCATTCTTAGATAGAAGCAACTACTTAAGTGAAAGGTTTGTTGGATGTGACTGTTTGATTTGTTGATGCAAGGACAGTTGAGAAAGTGTTGTACTTTTGCAGTCTGATATAGGACAAATTAAGACCCTGGGTATCTGATGTGCAGTGCTGGAAGTCCAAGCATAAATAAAGGAAAGATAAAGAAAAGTTCAGTCTCGTTACTCTCCTGTGGTAAAGTGATGTAGCGCTCATGGCTGCGAAGGCTCCTCTGGCTAGTTCGATGTTAGCGTTGGCTCTCTGCATTAAAATGGCATTTACTGCAATAGATGTTCTAGTGCTAACGGTTCTTGGTGTGAAAAAACCAGCTGGCTTGGGTTATACCACTTTTTGCTTTGGGATTAAAGTAAATGATTTTGCTATGATTTGGATACAAAACATTGGTTTTAACTGGTTGCTTTAACGTTGCTGTTAAAAGTTCATGCATGTGACCTTGAAAGGTGGGAATAATCAAAAGATGTATTTCCCAAACTATGGCAAAAAGTTGCCTCTTCTTTATGATCTTAGTTTGAACCTTTCTTTTAATAATTGAGTCAGGTTAGTGATTTAATAAAATTTAAATAATTTTACATGTATTGTAATTAGAGATGCTTACGAAGGAAATCTTAGTATTGATTTGTAATGCAAAATTAGGATACTTCAGAGCAATTAGTTCATTGCTTTGAGAAGACAGCACATAATAACATGGCATTTAATAACTCTGTATTAGAATTCCTACTTGGTAAAGATTTGGAGGGCTTGTAAAACTGTTGACTAACTGGAAAACCTTGCAGTAAGAACCATAAGGAGCAAATTTTTTAAATGAATACAAAAGTAAGGAAAACAAACATTTGAAGTCTGAACTAATCCTGTAGTTGCTTGCAGGTAGGAAACAGGAGAGTTTAGATTAAGTACACCTGGATATTTGGCCCATGAATTAGTGTATTGCAGGATAACGTTAGGATATTTGACCCATCCCAGCCAGACCCAGTACACATCCCTTCTATTTTTTTTTTTTTTTTTTTAATCTTTGTAGCAAGCCATGATAGCCATACCTGCAAAAGACTGGATGAGTGACAAATTCCTCACTTTGGTTTCTGTCATTTCATTTCTTTTTCTGGACCTTTACAGTTTTTACCTTGCATATTAGCTGGTACTTTGTGATAGTTACCATGTGACACTTCAGTATTTCTCAATGTACAAAGCAAGTTTTGCTGAACATGAATTATTTAGATAGAGTCATGGTATCTTGATGTTTAGATTTAAGTATCTAGGATGTTGAAAATAAAAATGCAAGGTCACCTACTTTTTTTTTTTCCTTTTCCTCTGTTTTCTTTTATAACTGTCTTATCAAATGGAGTTGTAAAGAGAAGGCTATTCCTCCGATGGTGCTAAGCTTACACAACCTTTTACTTGTAAATTTAAATTTGTCATCTGAAAGCTGGGCAAGGATCATTAAAAAAAAATGAGATTTGTTGCATGATACTTTCCAGAATCAAATAAAATCTCTCCCTAGACCTATACTTTCTCTATATCTGTATCTTCCTTACTGCCATCAAATCTAAAAAGAGCAGGTGACTGGGGTTTAGGCGAAATATACATAACGCTGGTGTGTGACTTGGAAGGAGAAGAAATTTTTATTTTGTATGTGATTCCTTAAAGGGCAGCATTTCTTCCTCAGTGATTCACAGTAACCCTTTTCAGTGCAATTCTTCTGTGTAAGTCCTTTCCTCAACATAGTTTTCTCTGAAAATTCTGCAAACTCAACTTTCCTAACGTTAGAATTTGGACCGATTCTCTAAGAACAGTATTAATAGACAGATTAATGTGATTTTTTTTTTTAATGGCTTTGAGCCCCAAACCTATCATATTCCATATGTTTTGTCTGGTGATCTTTTTCTGTCTTTTTATCCTCAACAGTTTTATTCTGACTTATGTATATTTTTGTTCGTTGTACAAATTATGGAAGAAACTAAAATGCAAAATCAGAAAAAACATCTTCAGTTTTAATCCAAGTTTGTTTTCATTGCCAAAATGACAGCCTTGTTCTAAACAGTTCTGGAGAAAAAAAAGAAGAATTAATTCAAAATTTTGATATGAAATGAAGGAATTTTCCCTAGTTGGCATAATTTCCCTGTTAAGCTTTTAGATCCTTAATCTTGAAGAACAACGTATTTTCCATATTCCATAGGAAGTGGTTGCGGTTATTTTAAAAGATTGCTCTGTAGTGTGATGGTGATGGGCAGAAAGAGATGCACATGTCTATGCTTTGGACGTTATAACTTCCCAACAAACACGTGTTTCGAAGACAGAACTGGAAGCATTTCATGGGGGTGCTGCCAACTTATAACGATGCAGACAAGTGTGAGTTTTAAGTAATCTCTGACACCACTAACAGATGAGTTCTGGCTTTCCTCCTGTCTAGCTTCCATCTTTACTGGAGTATTTTGTAGCTTACACAGATGTATGATTCGGGGGGACAACATGGACAATTCTTTACCACTGTTTGTAAAACCCCTTGAAGTGATCAAAATTCTCTGGATACTGCTTTTAATCCTGTGGTTTAAAATAATTACATGTTATGTCACTGTCCCATGACCTTCCAGTTAAATGTAACTAGAGATTGTTGGCACGTAGTGAGATCTTGTAGCCATTCCAGCACAATATTTGCTAATTTGCACTATAGACCTGTCTGGCTGAAATGGTGTGATCTGTTAAGTAGTTTTAGGAGACTTAACTCAGGCAGCGGCATCCTCCCTCAAAGCGAACAGCATTCACATGTCAGTCCCAGCTACAGTGAGACTTTCCGTTTTACGACTAACTGGGGAGTTTCCTCCTAGACATGTAGACAAAGGGAGTTTTAGAGTGTGGGGAAAAAACCCTCATTGGCAGCGTCTGTTGGCAGAGCAGCACTTGCTTCTGCCGAAACATCCTACATAAGAGCAGTCGCTGCTCTAAGCACACGCTATATATACACTGCACAGAAAAGCCATATTCCCTCTTGCAGGGTGACACTGACAGCACTACTTGCTCATTCAGCAGTGGTGAATTTCTTATTTCTGCACTTTTGAAGCCGAGTACATAGAGGATGGAGGATTGTGGTGAATATACAGTTGCTGTTAATAATTCTTGTAAAAATGTATTTACATAGGTTAGGGTGGATTTGCATTGCCCAGTCTCAAAAAATTAGCTGGAATGCAAAGAGGAAAAAAGTGCTCCTAAGAATTTGTTGGTTATAAGGAAACACATCACTATTTCATGTCTGGCTGTATTTGTCTGTGGCAAACTAGTGCTATTTAAAAGATAGGGGCTGTGAGAGGAATGTCAATTTAATCTAGTTATCAGCTAGGACAAGTTCTGCTGCTGTTCCCTTGCACACATGGATGAGTTGGGTATTAAGACTTTAACTTAAAATGTGATTTAGGACAGTTTGAGGCCATTGCAGTTAACTTTGTGATCAACTGATGAAATTGAGTCCTAGAAGATTTTTTAGAAACATATTCCTTCTGTCCTTTATTCTAAACTTCTAAGGCACTGACATCTGATTGTGAACTGACTAGGCAAAATTTTGAAGTATGAAGCAGAAAAGGCTTTATACATGAATGAGAAGAAATCCAAAGAATCTGACTTATCTCTTCTTAGCAATTCAACTGATTTCCAAGACTACACCCTGCGCTTAACTGAAGGTAAGGATCTCTTTGCTGTATAACATTCTACTGTTTATGGTCTTTAATTATTAGAGAAAAGATAAAAGCTAAATACTCCTCTGGCCAGGGATCTTCTGCCCTGGAATCATGTCAAAGTGATGAGGATCTGCAGGGAGTCCTTCTGGAGGAGTCCTTGCCCAGACGCCTGGGACTTCACTGCCAAGTCTCACCTTCACCCTCTGAAACATCAAATGCCTTTTAGGCTGTTCTCTGAAACTGGGAGACAATGCTTTTTGCCACAACGAATGGTGATTTTTGCTGGCCTGGCAATGTTGCTTTTGGACATTACGAAGCCATTCCCCACTGGTATCTTGATGCTGGGTGGTCTCAGAGATGCTGGGTGCCGTTTCCCACTCTGGCTCTCATCACATTCTGATTTCCTCCTG